ACTTTCTTCAGGAGAATTATGGACCGATTTGATCAAAGTGTGTAAGTGGTGTGCTTATGCTATCAATTTCAACCCCTTAATGCCCTTCTGTCAAAACAAAATCCTCAAGAAAGGCTTTGAGGGGGATCACATGGGTATAATGGCTTTGCAAAAGAGAGCCCTAAGTACTCGGTAACATATACAGAGCTGACTATTAGATCGGCTGGTGTAATTGTCCTTATATTTTAATGTAAACACGCTTATATTAGCTGAGTACTTCATCCCCCAGCCGATGAGGAGGGGCAGGGATGCGGAGGCAGGGAAGGTGGCTTCAGTGGGACCCTCAACCAGCAAAGAGCCTGTCAGGTCAGAGGGATGTGGAGGGGAGGTCAGAGGGCGTGGAGGGGAGGGGGTGCCGAGCAGGGGGCAGAGGTAAAGTGAGGAGTCTTATCTGGCTTTTATTAATAACTCTAACCCTGACTCCTGGGTGGCGCTTTGAACTTCTGTTTCTCCCCAGAGTTTCCCACCTAGGTTTTGGGTTGCCCTGGAGGCAAACTCTGGGAGGTAGACTGGGAAGGAAGGGGAACCCATTTCCTGGGTGGGTAAACTGAGGATGAGGGCAAGGGCCGATGTCCAAGCAGGAACTAGATGCAATGTCAAAATATGGATTGAATGATGGAGTCTGTTTATGACTGGGGCTGGGCTGTGGAAGGGGGAGACAGGGGCACCTTGATGATAGCTGGGAAGTAGGAATCATTGCCTCCTCAAGATCTAGAAAGATGAGGGAGACAGAAGTTTCCAGAACATGGTCAGAATGAGGGCTTAAAAGAGCCCTACCCATACAACGCTGCAGCCCTTGGTTGAAGAACACAACCCGTGGTACAGGGCTGGCACAGAGGCCCCAGTATGAAGGCCAGGGCTCCTCTATTCCCTCCCACTCTCCTCTTTGGGCCCTGGTGGGCAAAACTCAGCAGCAAAGCTGCAGGACACAGATGCAGTGCAGAAAGACATGGGTAGGCGGAGGTCTTCCAGCCCAAGATTGCTAGGGACCCGCCAGGCACCTTCGTGTGTTTCACAACCCAGCCTTGCCCTTCCCATAAGCACGGAGAGGAGCGTCCACTCACAGGCTACTCCATGGGCTGGAGGGCAGGATCTGGGGACTTCTGGAAGTTTCCAACTTTGGCCTGATTTTCTGAGTCCTCCAGTGCCGGGCTCTGGGCGTCTCGGCAGGGAGAGAGCATATTTTCACAGTGACTGCAGATAAGAGTTCAGGGCCTGAAGCCTGGATAATAATAGCATGACAGCTGATGAGTCCTCTGTGCGCTTCCCAGGCAGCTGATAGGACGTCAGCCAGGCTTCCTCTCAGCTCCACAGAGCCCTGCTCACCCGCCGGGAGGCCTGCGTTCACGGAATCTCCACGGCTCCTATCACATATGCCCACAGTGCCCACCATGCGTGTGGGCTTCCCATGTGCCAGGGTCATGCTGAGGTGTCCCTTACGTCAGCTCCTTTCATCTGTATGTCCTCATGACGACCTCTGGAGAAGAGTGTGGCATCTACATTTCACAGGCAGAGATGCAGATGTAGCTGAGCAGAATCAAGAGGCCGTGGAGGGGAGAAGAACTACTGGACCCCGCTTCAAATCCCAGCCCCGCCACTTAGCAGCTGGGAGTTCTTGTAGGAGTCACGTAGTAGCGTGTAGGTCAGCTTTCTGTTGCTATCACAGCATACCCGAGACAAACAGCCTTTATTTTTCAGTGTTTAGGGATGGAATCCACTGCTCTGCCAGGCAAGGCGATACTCTACCACTGAGCTACACATCCCCAGTCCGAAATGAACAACTCAAAAGGAGGAAAGATTTATTCGAGACCCTACTTTTGTAGATTCCAGTCCACGTGGCTTAACCCTGTGACAAAGCAGGACATTAGGGTAGAGGAAAAGGCTCCCCCATAGTTTAGAGGAAAGAGTGAGAGAGACAGACAGACAAAGACAGAGAGAGACACACACACAGAGGAAGAGAGTGCCCAGGGTCCCAGTGTGCTCTCCAAAGCCACACCCCCAGTGACCCAAAGACTTCCGGGGTGCTACCTCCTAAAGATTCCTGGGACCAAGCCTTTACATGTGGTATTTGGTAGACATTTGAGACCCAAATTGTAACCCGGGACCCCTTTGCCAACAGAGATTCTGCAAAGATCGACAAAGCCTTCGGAGAGTGCCTAAATTACTGCAAGCTCTCGACTTGTGTCCCCTCCGAGAACCCCTTCTCGTGACACTAAATAAGTTGCCCAAGGTCGCATGGACAGAAAAAGCCTGCGTCCCAAAGATGGGGGCTTAGACCAGGGTATGTGGTGCTGGGGCCGGTTTGAACCAGTTTGTAAGAGCCATCAGCTACATTTTCAGTTCTTTTGCAAATAAGCTTTAATCGCAACTATCAGACAAAATTGTATCAGTTCAAAGTCAATTAAATTGCAATAAGTACAAAAATAAGAAATCCTCAGCATTTATCACTTCCTGCAGTCTTGAGGTCACCGCCACCCCTTGTGTCTGCACAGGGGACGTACTATTCATGGGAGACCCTCCTAGTACCATGGTGGGAAATTCACCCCACAGAAATTGGTGATCATTATGAGTCAGGGCACTCCCCACCCTGCCAGGTCAGTGTTAGAAGTTTATCAGCACATCATTGGCAGAGCCCAAGCTCTTGGCTTCCTGGTGGTTGGTGGCTTTTCCTAGCACCCTGAAGAACATACTTATTTCTCAAGCTTTCCCAGGCGCAGGGTCACTCTGATTTTGTTTAGGGGTGGGTGGGTCCCTGACACCATCTTTATGACAAAGGGGCTTGGTACTGGTGCCGGCAGCTTGACGGTCCCAACCCCTGCATCCCATGCCACCTATTAGAGCTGAATTATAAACGCTTCCCAGGGGGACAGGAGTAGAACCGAGGCAGCAACCCACTTCTGGGCACTGCCAGCTTCCCTGGCCCAGCATCCTGCCCCCACTTCGGGCAAATTCCTCAGCTGGTGATAAGCGTGGCTCCATCTCAGGATTTTCCCATCGTGCTGACAGTTTTAAACCAATAGATTTATGAAGTTTTAAGTAATAGAAATATTTAAGGCAGGCCTATTTGTCTTATCTGCAAAGTCGGGAGCACTCCTCTTCAGCAGGGGGAAAGTAAACTCATAAAAGGGGACGATGCCGTAGTGGTGGGAGGGAGGGGTCCTGTGCGGCCCAGTGCCCTCCCATGCCTCGGGCCTGGGGCTCCAGCTGGCCTGCTGATTCTGCAGGCCGGGTCCCCAATCCCCTAACCTCTCGTGTTCTTCCCCAGCCAGTTGCAATTAGTTTTTTTCATTGCCCCTTACTGCTCTATGAGCATAATGAGGATGAAGGGCGTCATGGTTATGAGGACGGCTGACATTTACTGAGCATCTTTTACTTATCAAGCATGATTTATTAAGGTCTGTGTACGCAGGATTCGGGTTAATCCCCCGGATGAGCATAGGAGGTAGACAGGTGGGCTCAGGGTGCAAGAAGGATGCAGGTTGCACAGGGCCCCAAGGTGTCCACAACTGGAGAGTTCTTCCTCTTTATGAAAAAAAAAAAAGTTAACCACGAAAGTCATTTCTGCAAAAAAAATCCCATGACCCTGTGAAAATACCTCCAGAGCCCTCAGAATCTTGAAGGAGTCCAGAGAACAAGGAGCCTAGAAGCTTAAGTTTTATGAGCCTCATTGACAGAGGAGGAAACCGAGATCCCAGAGCGGAAGTGATGGGTTCAAGGTCAGATGGGCTCCGGGGGACATGGGTGGACCCGGAAGCCAGGCCAGACTCCAGCATCTCTGCTCCCGTCCCTCACCCTTTGCTACCTGGCTGATGCCTCCTGCGGCTTCCCCCGTTGTCGTGGGACCACAGACTGTGCATGTCCTCCCTGTGTTCATGGGTGTGGTTTCCTGACATCCCGAGGACCAGTGCACGCACCCTGGCTTCCAGCTCAGCCCGAGTTCCCCGCCCTCCCATCCTGTCCTGCATCCCCAGCAGGATCCTCCCAGGTCACCCTGCCCCGACACTTCTTCCCCATGTGACAGAACTCTGAGCACTCTGGACTCGGTGTGTGGGACTCTCCCGCCACAGAGTCTTAGATTCCTGAGGCGGTGGCAGAGCCTGGATCTTGCCTGCCTCCCTCTGATTCCACTGCTCCTCTACCTTACCCCTGTTCTCTGAGCATCTATGTGTCAAGCATGAGACTCAGGTCTCATAGGAGCTATCACGGTCCTCAAAGAAATGACACGCGTCCCATATGGCAGAAATAAAGCATATGGCAGAACAGGCTCTGAGAGGTCAGTCTGGGGCTGTGCAGGGGCTTTGGATCCAGGTTTGGGATTATGGATGGCTTCCTGGAGGAGGTGACATCCAGTGGCCATGGCTTGGGGTCACCCTGCCCAGGCCAAGGTCTGTGGTGCATGTGGGCATCAGGTACCCCAGGAATGCAGAGGAGGGTGAAGAAGAAAGGGTGTCATAGGCTGCAGAGGCCAGGCTGCAGGTCAGGCTGGCTCAACATGGCCTTTGTACATTTCTCCGCAGACTTTGAACTTGATCCCAGGGCCTGGGACTGGTCAAACCAGTCACTCTGGTTTGCAGAAATGGATGGAGCTGGAGGGTGGGGGCCACTGCAGTACCCTAGGGGACAAGAGAGCAGGGCTGAGCTTAGGCATGGCAGCATGGGGGCTCTTTCTTGGGCACACAGAGCCTGGTCCTCCCTCGGGGACTTTGTGTCTGCTGTCCGCCCTTCCTGAACTGCTCTGTCCCCGGGTAGGGGAGGACATGCTGTCAGAGTGCTCACACGTTGATAGCAGAGCCAGGATATGAAGCAGCCTGGCTGACTCTGCAACTCATTGTCATGTTTAGTTGTTCTGGCTAAAGGCAGATACACTGGGACCACAGCCAGCCCGGCAATGACAGCAGCATCATGCTGTACCTAAGGACACAGCTCCCACGCTGTCCAGCCATGGGTCCTGGCGCCACAGTTGGGAATACTGAGTCCCTGGGCAGGGTGCTGAATTTTCCACTCCTTATGTCTTCATAGATACCCGGGGAATAAGAGAAGTACCCATGTCTGGGTTGATGAGAGACTGAGCATTGTCTGTCTACAGAAAGTGCTTAGCAAAGTCCCCGGGATGGCACGTGCAGAGGGATCAGTAATGGACAGTAAGCCTCAGGAATCTGGCAGGCCCACGGCGCTCAGCACGTCTCACCACTGTGCTTTGCTTTGGGCCCACATTCCACCCTCTCCCCATAAGATGCAAATAACCAAACCCCCAAGGACTTCCACGAAAAAGCCCACAAGGAACCGCGGCACGGGACGGTTTTCAAACAGCCGGGAGGAACATGACTTACGGTCCCGAGGAGACGCAGCTGCAGGTCAGTAATCAATACCTACTGTGTGGGTGTGAGGGAGTCACCACCACCAGACACCCCGATGCTGCACGTGTTTATTAAAAATGTGTTCCCCATTACCGCGATCCTCTGAACAGAAAAACACTGTCGGCACTTCAGCGGGGCTCGGACATCGAGGCTGCGCATGATCTACGGGCTTCCTGCTTGTTCCTTGTGGCTTCTTTGTTCGGGGCTCTTTGTTCCCAGCCTGCGTGGACCTGGTGGATGCAGAGTTGAGGATCTCCAGGATGAGAAGTGGGATGTGCAGAAGAAAACACAGCCAAAGTGTCGTCCTGTTCCTTTTCTGTCTGGCACAAGTGAAGCCATTGGTCCATTATGCAGGCGTTGTTTATTCCCTCACTTGGCTATTTATCCAACAGACATGCTGGCACCTTGGCAGATGGACCCGGCCCCAAGCCCTGATATGTGCCCTGCAGGTCTCCTGCCCTTGAGTGTGACCCTGCTCTACTAATGGCTTCCAGCCAATGGACGATGGCAAAGGCGAAATTAGGCTGCAGGTTCAGCAGCTAAGTTAGTTGATCTCTGAGTTTACTCAAAAAGTAGACTGGGCTAGAGATTTAGCTCAGCGGCATAAGTGCCTGCCTGGCAAGCACTAGGTCATAAGTTCTATCTCTGGTACAAAAAAAAAAAAAAAAAAAGGTAGATCGTCCTGGGTGGGCCTGGCTTAATCAGGTGAAAGCCTGTAAAACATGTGGAGAGCTCCCTGAGGTCAGACACCGTCTCTCCGGCTGCCCCGAGTTATACAGTACAAGACAGTGACTGCTGTCAACCACCCGCAGGAGCTTGAAGCAAATTCTTCCCCAGGCAAGTCACCAAACTGACAGCCTGGCTGACACCTTGAGTGTATACACACTTGGGAGGTCCTGAGAAGGGGACCCTGCTCATCTGGGCTCAGCCTTCTGAGCCAAGAAGCCAGTGGGTAAGAGATGCATTTTAGGGCACCAGTCTGTAGCACCTGTCATGCAGCAATAGAAATGGAACACAAGGTGTCTTCTCAGATGAAAAGAGGCCGAACCCTGACAGCGTGGCTGTGTGGCTTTGATCTCTAGTGTCCTCCAAGAGCCTCATGTGTTCAGAGGCGGGGCTTCTGGATGGGGTTGGATCACGGGGGATTAGTCCACAGTGATCCTTAGCTGAATGGCTGTTAGGAGGTGGAACCTGGCTGGAGGGTCACTGGGGAGGAGGGCATGACCCGGAAGCATTTGACTCCCTTCTTTCCTCTTTCTCCATCCTGGCTGCCCCCGTGTTGCCAGCCATGGAAGGACGGAAAGTTCTGAAAACATGAGCCCCAGCTAAAGCTCGCCTCCTTTAACTTGTGGATGTTGGGTGTTGTGTCCCAGAGATGGGAAAGTAACTCAGACAGTGCTCCTGGGGAGGGTGCTGTGGACATCTCGGGGCAAAGGGAAGGAGCCCGGACTTTAACAGGACTGGTCCTTCTTCGCTGACCCTGTACTCTGTGCCAAGGACATAAATATCATCACCCCTTGTTTACAAATGAACCACAGGAGAGCTGCTTGATGTCTTCCTCCTTCACGACAAAGCCTCTGATTTCAGGAGGGCGCGTGGCCTGCAGTGTACAGAACCACATCTCCCAGGCTCACTGTGGGAGTCTGACCATGCAACCAGGGTATGGATCTATGCAAACATAAGCAGAAGTGGGGCGAGATATTGTAGAGAAATGTCCTTCAGAGAATGAGACGCCAGACAAAATACAGGCCCCTTCTTCAATTTGAATTTCAAATTTAAGAAAAAAATTAAATATATATTATGTCCCAAATGCTCATGCTAAAAAATATTTTTCATGCAGTCACGTAGGTAAGGGGGTCCCTGCAGGAAGGTTCCCTATATACTGTGTCTGCAGGTATTGGCAGTGGGGGGCGGGTTGAACAATCCCTAGGGTTGGAGATGAGACGTCCCTGGCCCCTGGTATAGAGTTCTTGAGGGGAAATATTATCCTGTCCTTGGTTATAATGGCAGCACACAGATTGTCTCAGCACAGAGCAGGAGCACAAACATGTTGATGTGCTGAAATGAATGGGCTCTCTAAAATTTGTCTCTGGCTTCTAGGGAAGGATCCAAAATGTTTCAGTCCACCTGATCAAACTGAAGTAGAGGAAAGCCATCAGTCATGATGTCCAAACTGCCCACAGTGGTAGTGACAGTCGGAGTGGCCGATGTCTGGCACCCTGCCCAGCACCCACACACCCCTCATCGAAATGCACATGGTCCACAGTGCAGCTCCTATGCCAGCCGCATCCCCCAGAAAGGGAAGCTGAGGAAGGATTGGTCACTCACCCAAAGTCACGCATCCATTGATCTGCAGGCAGGAGGAGGGACCTGGTCTTGAACCCGGGATGCCATCACTCTCTGGCTTCCATCTGCATGACCCATGCAACCGGCGGCACACATCTCATTCCTTTCTGGTGACTGGGGTCTGTCTGCAATCTGTTGTGTGGACATTCCTGAGTGCCAGGCTTCTCCTGGGTACGGAGATGGCCTTGTGCCCTGAAGAGCCAAGGAGGAAGGGAAGAGGGGCCGAGGACTCTATCACCAGCCAGCCAGGGTGCTGGAGGTCAGCTGCCTGTACCCAGCACCCACCCCCTTCCTTCCTCTTCTAACCCCGGAGACATTCAGCACCTGTCCCCTGGCTCGGATCAGGCAGAACCTGGGTGTCCTTAGCATGCAGCCCAGGCCACGCCACGGGCCTGGTGCTCCCCACGCCACCCCTCCACACAGTAGGTCCCACGGTACACATTAGCTGATGGCCCGCTGATTGGTCTGATTCTGTAAAGTACCTTGCTCAGCCACATGAGCCCAGAGAGGCTTAATAAAGGCTTTTTGAAGATGATAAGAAACAGAGCTGTCTTGTTAAGATTCCGGGGGCCTTGGCTTCTTCTTTAGCGGCAATATCTTTCTTTTCCTTCTTTTTTTTTTCTTTTTAAAGTGCTGGCAGATAAAGTCTGCCGACCGTCCGGAGAGTGACAGTGGAGAAGGAACTGTGGGGCCTTTTGATTTTTAAAGAACTTCATTAAAAGCAGTTTTCGACATTAAAATCTTCTATGTTCCAGCGGGGATCAAGGCGGGACGGCAGCGGTGCCCCATTCCTGGTTAATAGAAATTCAGTGAGGATAAGTATATGTGTGTATGTAAAGGAGGGGGCATTTATAAGGAGGACACTGTCCTGCCTGGCCGTGGAGTGGCTGAGGTCTGACAGCCCTGGACGTTGTCCACACCCTTCTGCAGCCCAGGGCCTCAGTTTCCCCAACTCCAAAATCAAGGAGTGAGCCCCCAGCCCTTCATATCTCCGACTCCTCTTCCACTGGAAACAGGCTCCTCGCTGCCCAGGCCAGAGATGGGCACAGAGGTGTAGGTGGGTGGCTGCCTGCAAGCCCAGGGACATCCCAAGGACACCTTGTCCCCATCTTACCCCTGAGCCTGGCTGCTGCCGTTCTGAAGTGAGCCCCCTGTGCAGAGAGAACAAAAACGATTCCATGGCACCCTGGGAGAGACTGGGCTCCATCCAGGGTGTGGGGTGGGGCAGCAAAGGAGCTACATAACAGATATTCTTACCTTTCCCCATAATTTCTTTTAGAATCTGATAGTGAGCTTTGGACCCATGCTGCGGGAGAAACATACAGAGCTGCGTGTAGTTTCAGGGGGTCTCTGGGCCCTGCTGATGCCAGGGGCTCCTGAAGTTCAGGATGTGTGTGCTGGGCTTACTGAAGAAGGATGAAGATTAGGAGGAGGAAGAAGGGAAAGAGAGGGAGGAAGAGGAGGAGGAGGAGGAGGAGGACAAGGAGGAGGATGAGGACAAGGACGAGAAGGAGAAAATGCACAATGAGAAAACACTTAATCTACCAGAGAGAAGGCTTAGTCACAGCACCCAGATCTCATCTGTCCCATTTGCAGCAGTGTCATCATGGATGTGTCCCCTCGTGAGCCCACCTATAGGGAGCTACTTGGGCTTGGACCAGAGGCTGGGATGGGGCCAGTGTCTTGCCCCTCAAAGTCTGGCCCCAGACTTGCTGCCCTGAGAAATGCAGCCTGAGCTCCGCGCCAGGCCTGAGGCATCTGTGCTTCTGCTGGGTCTCCAGGTGGTTCGCGCACATCCCAGAGTGAGAGCCAAGACATCCAGGAAGGCGCACGATTCCCCGCCTGCCTGCTGGATTAGCCTCAGCACGCCCAGCTCCCTCGGAACCCTGGCACCAGCTCAGCTGTCTCCACCTCCTGGGGACTGAGGTTTCAGCACTCCAATCTTCCCCTCCCTAAATCCCAGCAGCCAGGTTAAAGTTGTCACCAGGTGCGTATGCAGCCAGCAATCACTCCGCACGCCTGTAATAGGAAGAAGCTGCCGGCCAAGATCCCAGGGCAACGTACGGGGAAGAGCCCAGACCTCAGCATGGGGTGTGGTGGATCATCTGCCACGGATTCCCTCTGCCTGGACCATAAAGCACAACTTGAACACAGGCAAAATCAATAGCAGCGACAACAGTGATCACTTACTAACGCTTTCCATGTGTGGGACCCCAGGCAGGGGCTTGGGCTGTGTTATCTGATGTAACATACCCAGTGATCCTGGGCAGGGAGTTTTGTACTAATATTCCCACTTCCCATGGAAGCAAACTGAGGCACGGAGAGGTTAAGTAACATGCTGAACTTCACACAGCAGTGAGGTGGAGAGTGAGGATGGGAACTCAGCCCCAGAGGCCAGAAGCTTAAGCACAGATGGAACAGTCTCCAGCTAGAGGTCACCCATGGGGATGTGGGCAGAGCTGACCTCTCTCTGTACATATTTTCTTTGACCTGCCCAATGTTAAAATGCTCTGTGAGTTAATATTTTCAAATTTCACCTATGACCTGTCATTCTGACTGCTCTTGGAAAATCACAACACTATGGTCATGGCATGGCTGGTGGTAAGAGACGGTCCACTAGATGTGAAAGTCATTGCCACTTACCTGGCCACATGGGGCATTTCAGTTGCACACTCTGACATTGATGAGGATAATAACCAACAGTGTTGAGCGCTAGGTCTGTGCCAAACACAACACTATGAGAGGAAAAGAACCAGCAGATCATGGACTCAGGTGCTTTTTGGATATCAGACTCCAACCTGTGGCATTCTGTGCTCAAAGGTTCCTCCAGTATCAGCTTAAATTCCTCCAGGCATGAGCCACTCACTATCTCTCTGAAATATCTTTTCATGGTACCACTAGGCAGTTTTTAAAATTCTTTCTTTATAAACCAACCCCACTTCATCCATTTCTAGCTGGAAGCAGAGCTCCACCCTTTGGAGATTTAAGCTCCACCCTTTGGAGATTTAAGCTCCACCCTTTGGAGATTTAAGCTCCACCCTTTGGAGATTTCAGCTCTCCTGAAGCTCTCTGGGCTGGAGCCAGGAGGCAGAGGCAAGCAGAGAGGCACTTTCTGGGGCCCCGAGATAGTTTCTGCAAAGAGCAGGGGTCCTCCTCACCCAGTTCTCTTCCAGCAAGTCCAGGGCTACCGTCCCCCTAGATCAGCAAGGCAGACTGGACCTCACAAGGAGGCCCAGGAAAGATGGTTCTCAGGTACTGGGTTGGTCTCTTTCCTCATAGCTCCTGCTGTCTTTGGCTTTGCCTTTAACTTCCTTTCTTAGACCCTATGTCCTTTCTCTCTCTTCTTTACCCCCACCCCCATGTGGCCATTACTGCTCTAATACCCTGTATTGCCCTTCTCTTGTCCATGGACATGGTATATCTATGTCTACATGTTCCCTTTGAACCGTATTTTAACCTGACTGCTTCCCATATTCATATTTGATTTGTCCTCACAGCATGGTCTGCGTAGATTTCCCCACATACATGCAGCTGGTGGGCCAGCAGTAATTTCCCTTGGAAAAGTCCATTCCACTCTCAATGTGTCCAGAGACTCTTGGTAGGAAGCTATGACTTTAAAAAGTCCCTTGTCGTGTCATCGATGGTTCTGTCATTCTCTTCAGTACACCTTCCTTTCTGACCTTCTCTTCACACGTGGACTCAGATCCCAACGTAACGCTGCCAGGTCTCACTGTGGAACCCCAGTGCATCCTGAGTCCATGGTCCGGAAGGCACTGTAGCCTGGGCATCTCCGTCCTGGCCCATCCTGTGCCAAATGGGCCCCACTGTCCTTTCATCTTCAGCTCAGAGAGTCACATCGTTATCCCTCCAGCTCTCTGCACCACAGCCCTGGCCTCCTCCATCCCCTTCCCTGCTCCCAAGCCTGACTAGTCATCAATTTCCGCCACAGCGCCTCAGGCAGGGTTCAGACAAATCCCACCGCCACTGCTCACACGGGAATGCGTGTCCAAGGGAAAAACTGACCTGGATCATGACAGCTTTCAGCGTCTCCTCTGGGTGCCGTTTCACAGGCATCCATGAAGTCTCCCAGCCTCCTCTTGATTTTATCTTTTCCACGCGGTGGGCAGAGCCATCTTGCCAAAGTGGAAGCTGGCCAGGCTCTGCTGCACTCAGATACCATCTGTGGCTCCCGAATGACTTTAGGCACGGCCCAGCCTTCTCAGCTGAGCATTCAAGACCTCCACACTGTATTTTGGCCTCAGCCTCCCCTGTAGAGTGACTTGTAGTTTTTTGCTCACCTGGCTGGAGTGCCATCTCCTCCTTTTTTCTCCCTCTATTCCAGCACCTTCTTAGAAATTTCCTCTCCCTCCTGGATGTGTGTGTAACTTCTCTGCTTGTGCATTACGAACAGACCAGTCTTCTTGTTATACCAGTAGTGTGGCTGAGTACACTGAGATTAAATCCACCACTGTAGCTGGGAGAGGGGGCTCACATTTATAATCCCGGCATGCTGGGAGGCTGAGGCAGGAAGCCTGCCAGCTTGAGCCCAGTGTGTTTGTGACGTAGTGAAACTGTCTAAGACTGAAAAATAAACTTATAAAAAGGGCTGGATATACAGCTTAGTGCAAAAGCCCTGGGTGCAATCCCTAATACTACAAAAAACGAGAAAACAAAAACACAGAACCCTCTCCCCCAACCACTGTTGTTATGCTGTTTTTAGTATTTCCCCACTAGAAACGGTGAATTTATGCTAGTGGAAAGCTGTGATTACTCCCCTTAGAAAGATTTCCTTGAGACAGCTCTCGAAGGCACAACTGTTGAGGAGAAGCATGTCTTAGATTATTAGATATTTGCCAAGTATCTTTCCCAAACAGGTAGGGACACCTGTACTGTAAGCAAATCCTCCATCACTCCTAAAAGGAGGCCCCCTCTGGGTCCTCCTGGGGGCAGGAAGAGGAGTTTAAATGCGCTGTTGGTGGCAGAGCTGAGTTACTATTTAGAAATAACAAACCCGCTGGGAAGAGGAATCGGATCTCCATGTAAAGTGAAGTGGAATGGTTTAAAAATGGAACCCAAGCGAGTTTGGGGTGCCAAATGAGAAGGAAGATGGTTAAAGACCAAAATGAGCGGCCGCTGGAACCCAGACTCCCTGGGAAAATGAGATGGACTTTATTGCACGAAACGGACGCATGTCGAGGGGGTCCTGGGAGCGAGAGGAGGAGAATGATTTGGCCAGGCTCGGGTTTCCTTCAGATTCATGACTGGGGTTTTCCGGCAGCCCCCCAGACCCATCTCGTCTGAATTCACTTACTCAGAGAAAAATCCAACTAAAAGTAAAAAGAGACTTTAAAACACTTATTTTAAAGATCCTTGCAAGGTGTTTTGGACATCAAATAGCTCTTAAAAACCACGGCATACTTTCATGATTTAAGTGTAAATGATTCTGAAACATATGGATTACATTTTCCTTGAATTCCTCCTGGTTTTAAAAGTGAAAGGCAGCCTAGGCAGAGAAACTGTAGATCGCCTGCACAGTTTAGAGATTCAACCCGTAGACCAACCCCGTGAACTCTGGGGCTGGGAGGCAAGCCGATGGGGTTTCTGGGCAGGACAGAGTTGGTGGAGCCCTCCAAGGAGGGCTGCTCTGTTGAAATCCTAAAGTGATCTTTGATTGGGGGCTCCAAGGACCAAAAGCAACAGTTTCAAAGTTCTGATTAGTAAGTCCAAAATGTCCTAAATTGCTAGCAGGAAATACAGATCGCCGGACTAACTCCAAGCTCTTCTGCAGCTCAACCTCTGCCAGGGACCCCTCACCCCACCCTGGAATCTGCACTTTTGCAGGCTCCTTAGGTACCATGTTGAGGATCATTAGCTGAACCCAGTCCTTGTCAACTTTATTCTGTTGACATTTTGGGAACTCTTCCATGTATTGCACTGGGGTTCAGCAATGGTCCTGACTTCTCTTCACATTTACCAAGAGCATACACTGTCCCCCGAGGTGTGACACCTGTAAGTGTATCTATACCTTGTTTGTTGTCTTCTGAGGAGAGAACTAGCCCTGGATGAGAAGTACAGGTGTTTAAAATGAGCAGCTACTTAGAAAATACAGGCGTTGGCATGTGTGTGTATGTGCATTTCTGCCAAGGGGAAGAGATTTCTACATCACAGTCAGGAGGGCAATGCTGATGTGATGTGTGTGGGCATCTCTCATGTCCCCTCAGGGTCTTACAGTCTCATACCGTGTGTGTGTGTGTGTGTGTGTGTGTGTGTGTGTGCGTGCAATGGTTCTCAGTCCCCGTTCTTCCCTCCCTGGATACCCAGAAGTGCGTTGCTACGCTGCCATCAGCCTGACTGCCTGATGGCCGGACACCCATGGATCCTGTGACTTTCAAAAAAATTAAAATTCTTTACTGGAGATTAAAGCCACAGGGCACGGGGTTACAACCCAACCTTTTTTGATTTTTATACTGAGACGAGGTATTGCTGAGTTGCCCAGGCTGCCCTCAAATTTAAGATCCTCCTGGTGCCATCAACACCAAGTCTCAAGCCCCAGCCCTGCCACCTTCTGCTCTGAGCTCAGCTTCCTCAGCCATTCAGCAGGCACAAAAGTAACACATGTGCTTCAGCTCCTCTGGCTGTTAATGAGCTTTTGCGATGATTAGCATTTTATTTTATTTTTTTGGAACTGGGGATCAAACTCACAACCACGCACTTGCCAGACAGACACTTATGCCGCTGAGCTAAGTCCCCAGCTATAGTTAGCACTTTGTAGATCTGTCTGGAGTGAATGAGAGGGTGCAGGGTTTAGGCTCTGCACTTGGGATGTGGGATCACAGAGACGTGAGCTAATTTCATGACATCGCAGGCACAGA